GGTGGGGCAGGGGCGGGGGCAGGGCAGGGCAGGGGCGGGGCTCCGCCCGTCCTCTTTTTTGCTTGCTGAAATATGGTAACCCTAGTACCATGCCACAGAATTTGGTGCTTTTTCTCCTCAATGGCCCTTAGTTTTGCCAGCTTTTTGTCTCCTCTGCCCATGCTGAGAGGGCTGATCTGTCCTAAAGCGATTAGCTTCCAAAAATCTGATTAGATAGTATGTCTTATGATTTATCTAAACATTTTTGAAGTCCAGGTGAATATAATTATATGTGGGAGCCCGTTTATTTTGGAAAGAATATGCCATTTCTATCCTCCCTCTCTTTGTGGATAGGAAATGATAGTGATGTGCTAGCTATGACTATGGAGTTATAACTTGGTGAGATACTCCAGTTGCTAATGGACTGCTGAAACACCATAAAAGCTTCTGGGTAAACATGTAGGTTTCAGAAATAAAATAACTTGACCCAAAGCTACAACACTGAAGCCATAAGGTTAGGAGAATAAAATCGCATATTGATAATCTCATAAAGATGCTCTTTGGACATATTTCTTTGTTTTAAAATATTTGTAATAGAATTTTACAGCTATTTACTTGGTGATTTATAGCAATCCTTTACTGATGTGAATACTTGAAATCTATTTGCACACTTTGAGTTTTGCTAGGGAAACATATTTAACAATTTGCTATAGCAGACTGTTTCAAGGGAACACATCTAATAAGGTTAAACTAAAATGCAACAGAGATTAGGTTTAGAGACCTTCTTGTTGTCTTACATAGCTTTTATATGGGATCAAGGTTCGGGATCTGGAAACCTGTGAGATCCAGACAGTGACAAACTGTATTTTTTTCCTTGTCAAACATATTTTAAATGTTCGTTTTACCAGGCACACAAAAATGCCTATTTGTTCTAAAGTGCTGCTCTATTCTGAAAAGTAAACATATCCAGGATGAGAGAAGTGTTGTTCCTTGTCTGTTACTCAGTGATTCTAGATTAAATTTGCTCAGTTTACAAGTAAAGATGTTACCTATCTAGCCAGCCTTGCAAACTTGCCCTTGGATCTGAAAGCCATGCTGGATTCATCCAGGCTCGTGTCTCTCACCAGTAATAAAAGTTGTGTCATAGGAATATAGTTAATATATTTGTTAATGTGTGAGCCAGAATAGAATCCAGCTCAGTCTCCCTGCTAGCTCTGCAGAGCAACAGGTGTAAAATGCAGTACGAATAACTTCAGTGACTAAAATCAGTAGAACTGACTCTAAATGTTTTCAGGGAGTAGGTATGTTGGGTGCGTTCTCTATATAGCTGCTTTTCTGACCATAACTGTACTTGAGGATAGATCACAGATAGACTCTACTAGAAAAACTAGTCAGAATAGTTCTTATTGAAGTACCTTAGAACGGCCATACTGGACTAGACCAATGGTCCATTTATCTCAGTATCCTGCTTCTGACGGTGACCAGTGTCAGATGCTTCAGAGGGAATGAAGAGAACAAGGCAATTTTGAGTGATCCATCCCCTGTTGTCCAATGCCAGCTTTTGGCAGTTGAAAGTTAGGGATACCCAGCACAGGAAGTTGTGTCCCAGATCACCTAGGCTAATAACTATGGATGGACCTATCTTCCATTAAATTCTCTCATTCTTTTTTGAACCCAGTTATATGTTTGGCCTTCTCAACATCCTGTGGCAATGAGTTCCACAGGTTGACTATGCATTTTGTGAAAAAATACTGCCTTGTGTTTGCTTTAAACCTGCTGCCTATTATTGTAATTGGGTGACTCCCAGTTCTTGTGTTATGTGAAGGGGTAAATAACACTTTGCTGATCACTTTCTCAATACCATTCATGATTTTATAGACCTCTGTCATATCCCTCCTTAACTGTCTGTTTTCTAAACTGAACGGTCCCAGTCTTTTTAATCTCTCCTCATCTAGAACCCGTTTCAAACCCCTAATCATTTTTGTTGCACTTCTCTCTACTCCAGTTCTAATGTATCTTTTTTGAGATGGGGCAACCAGAACTGCACAGAGTACTCAAGGTGTGGGTGAACCATGAATTTATATTGTCTATCTCTTTCCTGATGGTTCCTAACATTATTTCTTTTTTTACTGCTGCTGCACATTGAGCAGATGTTTTCAAAAAACTACCCGCATTGACTCTCAGATCTCTTTCTTGAGTGATAACAGCTAATTTAGACCCCTTCATTTTGTATGTATAGTTGGGATTATGTTTTCCAGCATGTATTACTTTTCATTTATCAACACTGAATTTCATCTGCCATTTTGTTGCCCAATCATCCAGTTTAGTGAGCTCCCTTTGTGACTCTTCGCAGTCTGCTTTGGACTTAACTATCTTGAATAATTTTGTATCATCTGCAGATTTTGCCACTTCACTGTTAACCCTGTTTTCCAGATCATTTATGAATATTTTGAACAGCACAGGCCCCAGTACATATCCTTGGGGGACTCTGCTATTTATCTCTCTCCATTATGAAATCTGACCATTTTTTCCTGTCCTTTGTTTCCTGTTATATTTTAACCAGCTACTGATCCATGAGAGAACTTTCCCTCTTATCCCATGACTCCTTACTTTGCTTAAGAACCTTTGGTATGGGACCTTGTCAAAGGCTTTCTGAAAGTCCAAGTACACTATATTCACTGGTTCATCTTTGTTCATATGCTAGTTGACACCCTCAAAGAAGTTTAATATATTGGTGAGGCATGATTTCCTTTTACAAAAGCCATGTTGACTCTTCCTCAACATATCGTGGGGATATTGTATATATCGATACTGTAATGGCTAGTATTACCTCTAGAGCCTTTTTTAAATGGCATTACATTAGCTATTCTCCAGTCATCTGGTACAGAGGTCAATTTTAAGCAATAGGTTACATACCACAGTTAGTAGTTCTGCAGTTTCATATTTGAGTTTCTTCAGAACTCTTGGGGTGAATACCATCTGGTCCTGGTGACTTACTACTGTTTAATTTATCAATTTGTTCCAAAATTTCTATTGACATCTCAGTCTCGGACAGTTCCTTAGATTTGTCACCTTAAAAGAATAAAAAGAACTTCAATTTTCAATTAGTTGTATTACACATTTTTGTAAAACTAAGCTAATTTAATGTCATTCATAAAACCAAATTTATTGCCATGCAATGACTGGCATCATATGGCAAATGGTCCCACATTCCTTTCCTCCTTACTATTGATTATGCAGCTTTAACTATTCACACTTTTTTGTAAATCACACTTCTCATCTTGCTCCTACTTGTCTGCATTTTTTTTTTTTTGATGCATGACTCGCCCGCAAAGAGTCTTCAGTCTTTCAATTATGGGAGCAGAACTGTTTCTGGCAAAGTTCTTAATGTTCTCCTGTTGAATGAGTACTGGCTGAACCAGACTAGGGCTGGGAATTTTGTCAGAAAGTGAATTAATCTTGCTGTTAATTTAGACAGAAAGAACAACTTGTGGATGATCACTAAAAAAATGAAACTTTTAAAATGTAGGCTTCCATTATTTTCCCATTGAATCTTTTCAAGAAGGGCTAATATATTTTTTAAGCACTTAGCTGGAAATTTAGTGTGTAAAATCAAATTTTTATTATTATTATTTTTTTTTTGCATTTCAGGTATACTAAACCACTAACCTTTGCTGACTGCATTAGTGATGAATTGCCATTAGGATGGGAAGAAGCTTATGACCCTCAAGTTGGAGTTTATTACGTAGACCACAATACCCGTAAGTGATATATGTTCTGCAATACATTATTGTGTATAGCCCACTTATTTATTGATTCATTATGCACACATTATCATAGCATATTAGAAATAAGCTCCAATGGCGAAACAACATGATCACCACAAATAGACCACTCCTTGCACCTTGACTCCACCCAGAAGACCTAAATCCCCAGAAGCTGGATTCTCCCTCTTGCAGGATGCAAATATCTCCTTAGGAGTTGCATTCATAGTGTGAAGGGGAGAATTGGGCTTCTGCAGTTCATCATCCTCTATCTGCTATGAATGGGTTATCACTCCCCACCTGATGAAAAGGCCAAGTTGCTAAAAGACCTGGGTGGTGAGGACGGCGGTCCACTCTCTGGATGAAATTCACCCCCGTGCAGAAGGACAGCTCAAAGCACTTAAATGGTGCAAAGACCTTATGCTGGCCTCCGCACATGGCTGAATTTCACCCATTGTCTCTAAATACTTCTAGGAGTTCTGTAAGTGTATGGGGGAGATGTTTGCTTAATACAGCTCTGCAGTCTCTCTTCAGAAGCAAAAAGTTTTAGTAAAGTAGATTTGGAATATAATAAATGGTACACCATCTTGAGATTGTTAATATTTGTAAGTTTTCATGCAGTTTCATTCTCAGCACTAAGAGGCTAAGCCACTGGATGCCCTCTTGATAAAGCTGCTCCATGGGCCCAAAGCATTGTGCATTACAAAAAGCTTAGACGGCTTTCAGAGAAATTGAGTGCAAACATGCATATTTATTTCAAAGTACAGTAGCTGGATACATATTACAAAGGCTGCTGATATGAAATGTCATTGTAAGTTTGTTTTTGAGCTGTATTAGAATCAGACCCCTAAAAGGCATAGCTCTTGCAAAGAAATAAACTTCATTTGCTCCACATTATTGTTATTTAGAGTATGGTAAGAGGGCAAGCCATTTTCCCAGTCACATAATTATCCCTTTTAATGAGAGTGTAAATAAGATCAACCTTAATAGGGGTATGGTCATCTTCTTGTCTGTATGTGTTTTGAGTAACAATGTTATAATGGAAATGGTGACAGGCAATTATTGACAGCTTTGTGCACTGCTGCTGATATGACACAGGATTTCAGTGCACTTAATTTTTTGGGGGGGGGGGGGTGGTATCATAGCAGCTTCTAGATATCCAGATCAGGTTTTCTGTTTAAAATATAGTTCTCATTATGGTGCTGGGTACAGCAGTTTGTGTTTGAGATTCAGCTACTGTGCATGATCAAATGTTCCCAAAAGATTACAAGTTATATGGGCCCAGGTGGCTGGCATAGGAATGACAACTAAAGTGAATGGCAGGGCTAAGGAGAAGCTCCAACTCTGGTGATAGGGTGGTGCAGGGGGAGACTCGATAGAACTCATCCAAGAAACAGATGTGACTTGACAGATTTTTTTTTTTGGAGAAGACTGTTCCAATCAATCGTCCAAAAACCCACCACAGTGCAACGTCCAGACCCTTTCATACTTAAATTTCTACAATGCACATCAAAAGAGAGATTGTTCTAAAAGACAGTAGTGAGGGAAAGAACTGCACTGAAGCTAGTAAATGGGGGGTGGGAGAGGACTTCTTCCCCCCTACGACTTCAGCAGAGAACTTGAAAACAACATTTTGTGGCAAAAAAATTAATTTCTGGTGTTCATTGAAATAAAACAGGTTAGTTTTGTATGCCTTGAGATGTATGTAAGCAGCTGATAAATTGCTCAGCTGTTTTGTTGGACCATGTGTCTCAAATTTTTAGCTGGCCTGAAAATATGTCTGCAAAACTTGTGATTAGTTTTCTGGGCAAAATATATGGATAATTCTAGGTGGGCAACATGCCTGCAATTTCCTGATTTGCAGGTGTTGCAGTGTTACCCAATTTTCACAGGAAAAATACATGTTCTCATATACACAAATATGCTTATTCAGAAAACTGCTGAAAATGTAACCTGTTTCTTACTTGCTGCCTTCCATGAGAATAAACTTGAGACAAATTGCAAGTAAATACTGTATGATGATATTTTTGTGTATTAAAAATAAAACAAGTATAGGTACTTCTTATTTCTGCCAAAAATAATAGTTACCCAACCTAACCCTGCATAAGATTCAGATATAAAGTGAATAAAATTCAGTGCAAATATCAGGTGTCCCATTTCACTTCTGAAAGTGACCTGAATCTTGTACTTTTATGGCCCCCATCATTACATTATCTGAGGGACCCACAAACACTGTGTTTACTTTAGCAACACCCCTGTGAGCCAGTGAGTATTAGCCATTGTATAGCTGAGGATACTGAGGTGCAGAGGTCTTAGAGCCTTGCCTAAAATCAAATAGGAAGAGTGGCAAAGTAGGGAATTGAATGGAATGCTCATGAGTCAGTTCTGAATCACAAGACAACGTCTGAAGGTCTGTGTCCATAAGCTAGTTGTTTTGCCAATGCATTCTCCAAGACTTTGAACACTAACATTCATGCTCCCACAAGATAAGGGCTGAATCCTCAAGTCCTTACTCAGTTTAATTAGGTATGGATTGCTCCCTCTGCTGCCCATATCCACAAATGGAACAAACCCTCTGTGCTTGGAACTCACTCATCTCATGTGGGAGTGCTTGTTGGGGAGAAAATAACTCTGCAGCACTTCCTCCTCCCTGCCCCACACATACCTCCATTCCTAACATGCTAATTACTGGGTGTACAGGAGAGGGGAAGGAGATTGAGCAGGCCAGCAGGATGAGTTCATGGGAGAGGGTAGGGAGTGTTGGCCTTCAGGTGAACATATTCCGTTCCTCCTTGGTCCAATCCTACAGAGACTTACTAGAAAACAGTATATAGCCTGGGACTTGCCTTTCCAAGAATCCTTGTTACCAGGGTGCTGGGGGACCAAAGGCAATCCTGAGGCATGAATGGCTCAGACTCCCGTGGATCCTGAGGATTTGCCAGGTTTGGGAGCTAAATGAGCCCCACAACCTCTTCTGGTGATAGGGAAACTCTGCCTTGATGGATTAACAGAGGACCTCCACAAGGGGAGTCTCTGGCGTGATCCCTGTGAGCCTGCTCCCAGGGGTTTTGCCCATAGAGAGGGGTTGACCTGCATTTTTGTTTTTACTTAGTCATAAACTCCAGATGAAGCCAGAGGACCAAGTTGACTCAGTGGGATTCTGCCTGAATAAGAATAATTAGATTTGGCCCCCCCAAAATGAAATCACTTTACTCTAGCATATATAGAGAAAAGTAGGCCTTGCTTTGTGGAATAAACTAACTTGCTGTGACTCATTCAGACTGTCACAGCTAACAGATGCTCAGAGAAATACTTTGGACAGGGATATTAGAGGCAGAGGTATTGAAGGCAATTCTGTCATTAAACTGCAAGAGGAGTTGCTCTGATAATCTTCCCAGCGGGATTCCAGAAGGAATACAAATCAGCTTTGTCTAGCTATTTCTTACCACTGACTCTTAAGAGAAGAACTCATCAGAGCAACTCTTCAGACAGGGAAAACTCCAGAAAATGTTCCCACTGACCGTCCAATCTTGCTAATTAGCATGGTCTTTAAGACATGATAAAGAAATTTTAAAATAGCCTGCTAGTTCTTGCTGACTCAGTTTCACTGTAAATATGTATGACTTCTATAAAGTAGCCTATCTTGCAGTAATATATCAGGCAGCTATTACATTAATAAACTGGTATAAAAGAAAAAAATAGTATGGTGGCCATTTTTATTCAGTGGAGAGCAGGCATTCAGTGAAGTTTGTTGGAAATACTTGTTCTGCTTTCTCCATAAATCTGGAGTAGACAATATTTTTCTGTAGCTGCACTGGGCTCCTGATACTTCAGTCTGATTCACATTGGCATATCCTCATTGAAGTCAGTGCAGCTCTGTTCGTGCAAATCTAATTGAAGGATTGAGGCCTAAATGACTGCTGTTACTCTTAAAAGCTTTGGCTTCTCATGGATGGCAAACCCCACAGATACTGGGCACCAGACAGTTTAAAGAATATTGGAGGTATGTTGGTGGCATCTTCTTACTCAGAACTAGAACTGGCTTGAAACTTTATCAACAAATTTTGATTGGGGGGAGGGGAGAAAAATCACTACCCCCATTTTCCATATCAGCTTGATTCATAACCGTAGTAGATCAAACCATGTTCACTTTCTGTGGCTGCTCAACAGACACATCTTTGTGTCGCTCTCTTACGGAATCATTTGGAGACGAGACTGAAGTGTTACCACTCCCCAGGGACTATTTCATATTGCACTGTAGGGGAAGGAATTTTCAGTGTGTTAGCAGGTTTAAAATATTTCAGTCTAATTATAAGCAGTACGCCCAAGGACAGAGCTAAATTAAATCTAACGCCAGCAACCAGTCAGATGAAATGAGCTGAGAACACTTCTAACCTACTATCTGAGATAAAGTAAACATAATTGAATTGCATACCCAGAATATTATATATCCATAGTGCATTATTAATGAACTTCCCAAATTAGTACTTCTCAGACTACAATACAACTTTTTTTAGAGCTTCATTTGAGATAAGCCAAAATTCTCTTGCCAAACAGTGATCCTAACAAAGTGAGCCTTTATTCCTCAAACATGAAACCAAACCATGATTCACTTACAAGTTCTGAATTGAATGATAGACACAAGCAAAAACAACAAATTACAGAGTAATTTGTGCTTGTATAATCTCTTCATCTGACAATCTCAAGGCACCTTCTCATAGCAGCTGGGATGAATCGAGCCCTGTGTCTGAATTTTATTGATCATGATTACATATTTGGTAACTGGAGCTCAATTAGTGCTGCAACTAGGGGAATGTAGCTTAATGCTTTGATTACTAGTTGTGATGAGTTAAATGTTTTGATGCAAGAGAGAACAGACTGTGGTTTCCCTATACAATTGCATAGTTGATCTTCTGAATTAGTCCCCTGCCAAGTATCACTTACCTGGATGAGACAGATTTGCCCTTGCTTAATGACAGGTTTCAGAGTAACAGCCGTGTTAGTCTGTATCCGCAAAAAGAACAGGAGTACTTGTGGCACCTTAGAGACTAACAAATTTATTAGAGCATAAGCTTTCGTGGACTACAGCCCACTTCTTCGGATGCATCCCCAACTTACTGACTTGGATTCCAAGATTCTAAGGTTAAATAGTGTAACAGTGTATGGCCTCACCCACACCTTGAATAGACGACAGGCCTCAGATAGCGGAAACTAGCCACCGGTTTTAGAAGTGATTTTAAAACAGCTTTTCAGACCCACAGCAGCTCACATCTTGCCTACACTAATGGTAGCAATATTAAACTTTTGTGGGAAAAGGCTGTGTCTAAACTAGACTGCTGCATCTCTTGGGATTTTGTTTTGTATTGTTATTGTAACCTGTATGTTCAGGCTGTGCGTTATCGCATTACTTTCACTTCTTTAAACTGCTATGTGTAAACTGTATGCTGCATGTCTCCAGCTACACATGCACAGCAAGCACTTATTTAAAAACACATTATTGGAGGAATATTCTTATTAGGAGGCTTTCTCCCAGCAAAATTGTGTCCCCTTTGTAGTGCAATGCCAACAGCTTTGAGGCCTTGGTTAAACTGCTGTAAGGATTTAGAGATATGTCTAGGGTTTTCATCAAAATGTGTGTGCTTCTCTTGATCCTGTATCTTCCAACCATGAAGATAATATTCTGGCTGACTTTAGACCTCTTCAGAGCTTCAGCTCTGGCAGTTTTTCTACTGAATATTTAAAGAAATTCTTAAAATATGCAGACTAGTGTCCCACAGATGGTTTCAACCAGGCCCTTTTTATTAATTATTCAATTCATGGTAACTAGACATCCTCATTCAAGCATGATCAGTTCAGGCATCCTAAAGCATTTAAAGTCAGCTGAATAATGGTAGCTCCTGTTTTTGCATTTCAAATTGGCACATACAGTAGAGCTGAAAGAAAAATGAGAAATTTTTGAAACACTTGCTCACACCACCAAAATGAAATAATAGAATTAAAATATAAGTTGTATTAAGAGTGGCAACTTATGTGACCCTTATGTGACTTTTCTTCATAGAAACCCCAGAAGGCTGTGAATTCATTGTATTGGAATAATGGAGGCCACAGAGTCCATTAAACTATCCAGGATAGCAACAGTTCCATTATGTAAAAATGGTTTTCCTTATAACAGTTCTTCCCCTTGCTCCTTTGTCTTAAAATGAGTAGAATGATAATGCTGTACATCCTTTAAATGGGGAAAATAGAAGTTTAGTCCTTTCTCAAGGCACTAATGATACAACATAATTAGGCCATTTATATAGTATGTTCGCGACTGCTACAATGCCATGGTATAGATGTAGACTACAGCCATGGAAGGTTTTTTTCCGTTGTTGTAGGAACTACACTTCCTTGAAAGGTGGTAGCTAGGTTGATGGAGGCATTCTTCTATTGACCTAGCTGCCTCTACATTGAAGACTAGGATGGCATAGCTACAGTGCTCAGGGTGTGGATTTTTTTTACACCCCTGAATGTTCGTAGCAAAGTTGACCTAGGTTTGAAGTGTGGACCAGGCTTTAAAGGGATGCACTTGGCTACATTAAATGACTTAATTCTCCTGTATTTGTAATATTCTTTTAGAATCTGATGAAAATATTGATTCCCCACTACAGACTTAGTCCTTCTTCACTGCCAGGGCCGGCTCTAGGTTTTTTGCCGCCCCAAGCAAAAAATTTTTTAGCTGTCCCCCACCCCAGCCCTGGGCTCCCCCCGCATCCTCCTGCTGCCCCAGCCCTGGGCTCTCTCCCCCACCCGCACCCCCTGCTGCCCCAACCCTGGGCTCTCCCCCCCACCCCACCTGCACCCTCTGCTGCCCCAGCCCTGGGCTCCTCCGCACAGTGCTGACTCCGCCTGCTCCCCCCTCGCCTCCAGCCGGTCCGGTGCTGGCAGGGTCGGGGTAAGCAGCGCTCAGCTCCCGCCTCCAGGACCAGCTGGGACCCAGGAGGGCAGAGCCCGGGGACCTCCCGGCAGAGAGCTGAGGAGCCAGAGCAGGGCAGCCCCAGAGGGAGCGGAGCCCGGGAGAGCGGGATGCGGGCCCCGCACGGCAGCGCCCCAGGCACCGATCCCCTCTATGGCCACGCTGCTGCTGCTCCTGGCCACCCTGCCGCAGTTCCTGGATGGCTCGGGCCGCTTCACCCAGCCCCGGCTGCGGCGCTGGGGGGCAGCCGCCCTGCGGCACCTGCAGGCGGCTCCATGTGCCCTGTGGGGCGGCCCCCAGCCCAAGTGTCCCGCATTCTGACCCACCCGGCCATAAGGTGTGGGCGCTGCTCCCCAACGCGAACCGCAGCGGCCCCAGGGCGCTTCTGTCAGCTGCTGCAAGGGCCAGCGCTAGGCTTTTGCCACCACAAGCAAAAAAAAAAAAGAAAAAGGATGGCCGGAATGCCATCCCTGAAAATGTGCCGCCCCAAGCACGTGCTTGGTTTGCTGGTGCCTGGAGCCGGTCCCGTTCACTGCGAAACATTTTATTTTGTAGTCTTTGTTGCTGTGACTATAGGGGAGTCACATGGATAGTGTTGTATCTGTAACGATGTTTTCCTTAAAATTCTTGGTTAGTGAAGTGGCATTTATAAATTACAATAGAACACATCTGTGAAAAGTCTCAAGCCCTCAATATTTTTGTTGTCTTTCCCTGAAAAAATATTAATAAGAATAGAAATTGTTCCACAATAACTTTTTGTATTACTAGAATCTGTTGCTGAAACTAGCACTTATTATTTTACCATTTATCATTTTTATAAAGTAATTCAACACAACCAATTTCATTTTAGATCAGCAGATTGCTAGACACTTAACAGACAAAAATGATTAGGAAGTTACTTTCTAAATACTGACATAAGTGAGGGGAGGTGATGCTAGGCACACTTTTTCTCTTCGTGTCTTTGTTTTCTCTTGAGTGATATTATCCTGTCCATCTTTTGAGTAAGGACTTTTATCTCTGCTAAGAATCCACACAGATAGAGGACCCTCGTGTGCAATGGCGGCGGGAGCAGGAACATATGCTGAAGGACTATCTGATACTGGCCCAAGAGGCTATCACTGCTCAGAAAGAGATCTACCAGGTGAAACAGCAGAGACTTGAATTGGCCCAGCAGGAATACAGGCAGCTACATGACGTTTGGGAACACAAACTGGGCTCTCAGATCAGCTGTAAGTATTAAACTGTCTAGCAAGTGGGAAATAGCATCATGATAGAACCAGGAAAACAATATGTAATAAAACTGTCTGGTTTTGTAACTTGTTTTAGAGTAAAGTTAACTCTTTGTAGCTAGCTCCTGATAGGACAGACCTGTTACGTCAAGGGCAGTGTCTTACCTGTTCTCTCTAGCTATCTGTCTTCAAAACATTTCCCATTTTTAGCATTTATTTTATAAAAGTATTGCAGTCCCTTTATATGAAATCTCACTGCATCATGGTCTACTAAATCACTGCGGAAGAGGAGAGACACCAGTGCCTCAGGTGTGTAAATGATCAGTATGGGGATTAGCAAAATGTAAATTAATTAAATGTAATTAATGCTAGATCCCCAGCTGTGCCTGCCAGTGTGTGGTGGGAGGGTAAAGGGACATGGTCAGATGTGCCTATCTGCCAAGTTTGTACTCCTCTGAAACCTGGGGCTGTCAAGGAATGGTTTGGTGCTCACATTCATAGCAGTTCCCTGGGTACTGTGTAATTATACTTGTCAAGCAAATCCATCCACAAGCACTCCTTACAATGGGGCTGGATGAGCAGTAGTGTAGAGCTAGCTGTTTCTGGTCCACATCAACCAAAGATTCTACATGTGATGTTTCAAGTTAGGCAAAGTCAAGGACTGCTTCTGAAACTCTGGCCTTGGAACAATTGTCAATAGCTAGTAATGATTCAAATGTTCATCTTATGTCAACTGTATGATGACTGGAGTGTTATCTCCTGCTTTGTAGCTGAGCAGTCAATTTTATGAAGATTCCCTGTCCTCACTTTCTGTATAACTGGTCTTCCAGCCACTTCTTCCTATCCACTCACACTGCCTATTTTCTCTTTTCCTTTCATCCCACTTCCTACTGTTCTCTGGGTCCATCTGTGTGAGTGTTGGGCCTGACTGCACCTCTTCCAGCAGCCCCTGGGAGCTGCGAGCGGCCATGCAAATGTAAACAAACTGTCTGGCGGCCCACCCAAGGATTACCCTGACAGAGCCGCATGCTCTAGATGTTCTCATTATCCATATAAATGACCAAACCTTTTAAAATACTGCTGAGCAATTTTCCTCAATTATATCTTGTGTCAATGAGTTCTACAGGCTAATTCAGGATTACATTAAAAGGTGTTTAAGCAATTTAAATTTTGCTGCCTTTCAGTTTCATTGAAATGTTCATCTCCACTAGAAGGATAAATAGAAGTGCTCAATCTAACTTTGCTATGCCACTATTCCAGCTTGTATGCCATTATGTCCCCTGTCTCATCTCTAAAGTAAACAGCCCCAGACATTTTTAGTCTCTTCCTGAAGCTTTTCCTTATCTCTGAATCCCATTCACTTCTGTTGTACATTACTCATGACTCTGTGAACTATAAACTGTATGCTCACGCTGGAGGGTTCTGTTAGCATCCTGCCAATGTCTCTGACAACAAAACTACAGTTTTGTACTACAGGGCATAAATGGATCATTGCACAGATCAAAAAACAGTTTCCCTTTCCCTAGCTACCCCTTAAAATAGCTCCCAGTTGTGCAATGCTGTGCCTTCTGAAGCATAAGGGTTTTGTCCACCGATGAAGACAGGATGCTGCACTTGATGGAACATTGGTCTAATCCTAGGGTTACCATACGTCCGTTTTTTCCCAGACATGTCTGGCTTTTTGGTAATCACTCCCCCTTCCGGGGGGAATTGCCAAAAAGCCGAACATGTCCAGGGAAAAATACCGCTGGCCGGGCACTTCCCCTTGCCTCTGGACCC